TGAACTAACAATGACTATCATACATTTTAATACACAGATTACGGACACTGATTTAAATATTTGGATAAAGCTGAGAGGCAGAGAGCACAATACAAATAGGAGGTGAAGAGGACCAGGGAGACTGTGAGAAGAAGATGTTAGTACTCAATTTATACTCTGAAAATTATAGCTTATATATAGAAGATATACTATAATAGGTCTACTATTTATTAACAAGTATAGAGGCAGGCAGCAGTGGCACACGCCTTTAATCCCAGCACTTGGGAGGCAGAGCCAGGCGTATCTCTGTGAGTTCAAAGCCAGCCTGGTCTACAGAGTGAGATCTGGGACAGGCACCAAAACGTCACAGAGAAACCCTGTCTAGAAAAACCAAAAAAAAAAAAAAAGTATATAGAATACTAGTGAAATCTAATAATTAAAACAATTTTCTCCTAGGTAAAAATGTATGTGACAATTTATTTTTAAAAGTAGAAATAATGTGTAACAACTATGACATTTTTGCTCAGAATGTCACATGGTTTTGACTGGGAAATCTATTGATTGAATTTTCTATCCTAAGTGTATGTAACGTGTGTCAGCATGGACACACATGTGCCATGGCACATGTGTGGAGGTCAGAGCACAGCTCCCGGACCCACTTCTCTCCTCACCTATGCTCCAGGAATCGAACTAACATCAGGTTTGTGTGGCAAGCTCTTCCCTGCCCAGCCATCTTGCCAGCCTAGACTGGCAAGTATTTTGATTCTTGGGGGAAGAAGATGAAAGGAAAGTTCCTGATTTCTACACCAAAAGGAGACAGCAAAACGGAAACCACAGCAGGAGTTGTCTGGGGTGCAAGGTTTCCCTGACTTTTGGGACTTCAGGATGCTGTTTTACGATTGTCTAATTAAATGGTTCTAGGAGAATTAGCCATCAAGAAATAAGTGTGGGCTTTTTTCAACTTAAAAAAAGACAGAACGTACATACTGCTTTACAACTGTTGGCTATCAGACTGGCCGTCTTCTTGAAGGTCTTTTCCAGGTAGTGGGCAAACCTTTCATTCTCATTTTCCTTTGACCCTAACTGAAGAAATTCACCTATCAAGAAGGAGAAGGATTACTTGAGATATGGTTTTACTGTCTGGCCAAATACCAGGCTTGAACAAAACAGAAAAGGCAGAATAACTTACCCCGCACCAAATCTTCAATAACTTGGCTGAAAAGAGATATAATAGCTGTGTTTCCAATCCGTGCCAGAGCTAAGGATGCTGTAGAAAGAATTAAATCTCCAGCAAGAACAGCCTGGAAAAGGGAGAAAAAAACACCGCAGATAAAAAGTTCACAGCTGTATCAGTAGTTAAGCACCTTCCTAGCACGCACAGGTTTGATCCCCAGGATGTTAATGTGCCCAGAACAAATTATCAGTTATAAATCATGCAGTATATTATACAGTATAATCAAGTACATTATCTATACATGCACATTCCTTTGCATATTTAAAGATATGCATCAGTACGACTTCCGTTACACAGAAATGCTATAGTTAACACAAATTTTCACTCATAGAATGTTATTTTATTTTTTAAAAAGCCAGGCTGTCTTCCAACTTATTATATAGCCAAAGTAGACTTTGAACTTCTGACCTTTCTGCTTCCCCTTCCTGAGAACTGGGATTATGGACATGCATCACTATACGCCACTCATGAGATGTTAGGGGTTGAATTTGGAGCTTTTTTTATATGCCAAGCATGTGCTATACCAACAGAGCTACATACCTGCCTAAATTAATAGAATTTTCAAAATAATCATTTTAGTATTTATCTGTTCTCCAAACTAGAATAGTGCATTTAGTATTTTTTGACCTTCTCTTCCATTTCTTTTTCTTTTTCTTTTCTTTTTTTTTTCCTTTGGTTTTTCAAGACAGGGTTTCTTCGGATAGCTTTGGTTCCTGTCATGGATCTTACTCTGTAGACCAGGCTGGCCTCAAACTCACAGAGATCCACCTGGCTCTGCCTCCTGAGTGCTGGGATTAAAGGCATGTACCACCACCGCCTGGCATTACCCATCCTTTTATAAAATTCATTCCCATTAAAGCATAGCCAGCACACAAGACTACTGACAATCCAACAGGAGGGAACCAGATGCTTGAAGTGTGTGAAAAACCATGTAAGAGGGGAAGTTCTTCTCGGGTACTGTGGTTTGTTCTCCATCATGTGAGCCTGCCAATGGAGGCACAGGTCTGCCCGATCACAGAAGACCTACACAGCCTCCTTTCATTTGTTCAACTTCATTCTTCCACCCATAATTTATAAATCTTCAACTTAAAGTCCCTATTTTGCATGTTTTCTTCAAGCAATGCTAATAAAATGGGAAATACATTTAAAAATGAATATACAAGGGCTGGAGAGACGGCTCAGCAGTTAAGAGCACTGGCTGATCTTTCAGAGGACCTGGCTTTGATTCCCAGAACCCACATGGTGGCTTCTAAACACCTGTAAACCCACTACCAGGGGATCAATGCCCTTTTCTGGCCTTCTTGTGCACCAGGCACACAAGTAGTGTGCATATCTACATGCAGGCAAAACACTCATACCCATCAAATAATGATTATATATGTATATATATTCACTATAGCAAACATAAAAATTTCATATATGTGTGTATGTGTGTGTGAACCAAATCTTATTAGGACCTCTTTTAAAAAGGTAATAAGTTTTGATGGTAGAACACTATTTCTGAGGTTTTTCTGTTTTGTAGTTTTTATTTGCTTTGACACTATTGAACATGCGGCAAATAACATATGCTTATGGGCTCAAGTGAATGTAGGCAATCTGGGTGCAACAGAAAAATGTAGGATTCCTCAAGAAATACCCATGAAAATGCCTTTCCTTATAACTAGAAGAAATTCTACATGAAACAGTGATAAGGAAAAACACTGAATTTGTTTTTACTGTCAAGTACTTTTACATATATAACACAAACTTCTTTGAAATTTCAAAGACCACATTGAAACAAGCGTATTTTACAAATCTGAAAAGCAAATGCAATCCCATAAGTATGTGATTTGGTAAGAAAGATTTTCCAAAGCAACAATAAAAAACCATCATACCTTTTTTTCACCCCAGACTTTATTAACTGTATGTTTTCCTCTTCGAGAACTTGCATCGTCAATAACGTCATCATGAACCAGACTAGCAGTGTGGATCATTTCTGCAATTAAGGCTATGGAGCGTTGGCTGGCTTGCATATCTCTAATTAACAGAAAGCAATGCTTTTTTTAACAGACGCCTCCTAGAACCTTCTCAGCAATCATCTTGTGAAAACTGGATATCGGATCTAGGATAAAGAATTTTATTTCTCTAAGAGAAACTGTATAAAAATGTTGGCTGTCCTATAGAGCCATTTCTGTTATTTGGAGAACATTCTAATGATCTAGAGACCCAGCTATGACATTAGAATTTCCACTTAAAATATGGTAAGCATCTTAGAAGCCTGGCCATTGGGTGGAAGAAAATCATCTTTCTGTCCAAGAGAGGTGGTCTTGGTCAGATGTTCAAGTTTATAATCAGTTTACAGTTTGAAGGCTGGGACCAGTAAGTGGCCCAGGAGCTAAGCCTGACAACCTGAGTTCAATCCACAGACCCCACAGGTAGAAGATAATTGAGTCCTGCAATGAACCTCCACCACATGCATACCTTAGGATGCATGTGCCCACACACATAACACACACACATAAAAGTATTTTACAAAAAGTGGTTTGCATGGTATGGAGGTTTTTGTTTTTGATTAATGTATAGTGTTTTGCTTGCATGGATGCCTATGTACCACATGTTGTGTCAGCCCAAAGTCAAAAGAGGATGTCAGATCCCCTGAAACTATAGTTATTGATGGTCGTAAGCTGCCATGTTAGTGTTGGGAATTGAACTCAGATCCTCTACAAGAACAAGAAGTGCTCTGAACTGCTAAGCCATATCTTCTGCCTTAGTATGAAATGTTTTAAAGAATCAGATATCAGGGGTTGGACATACACGCGCACATGCACACACACAGCATCTCCTGAGCTTATCTAAGCAGGACTTGGAAGTGTGACGATGTGGTGGTTCATCTCACCCAAAGCTTTAGAACTCAGTCTCAGCCTCCTCACTGCTTCCAGCCCCAACATCAACTATAAGGTACTGCTTATTATATAGTAAATATAGTTACATACTACTATATAAGTTACTTGCTTTTATAAATAGTAATTTATCTAATATTACATGTTATATATTAAATTTCACAATTCAAACCAGCAGCTTCAAGTATTTCCAGGTCATAAGAGTCTCTTTCAGGAGGAAAAAGTAAAGAAAAAGCAATAGTAGGTATAGACAAATCATCGCACAAAACCAGCCCAGCAAGGCTGCGGACAGCACAGCTCACAGAGAAAGAAGGTTTGTGGCACGTGAAAGGCCTTGGGTTTGACCTCCAACATCAACACAAGACACTGCATCAGTGAAAGAGAAAAATCACTGTGCAAGTAGTTCTGAAGAGCTTGTGCTGAATCTATCAGTAGATCCCCCGACCTTTCCCTTTCGTTAGGAAACATATATATTATCTAGGTAAACTTACTAGGCTCTAGTTCTTTGAGTTGATGCACAGAAAAATATATGTGTTTTATAGTTTTAAAATAGAAACTTTTCTAAGAATATTACCTCAACTGAATTTCAGTCTAACAAAATACATACTCTTTACTCATTAGTGGTAGAATTTACCTCTAAACGACTGTTAAGGCCTTTGCCCTTTGCCATGTCCCAAGTTGGGCACCATTTCATCATTACAAGCTATGTCAACAAATAGGGCTCCTATTGGAAGGATGAAATCATGAACACTTAACAAGAAGCCAGCATTTAATATCTGAAATTTGAGGATATGAAAACAAAGATTTTTTGAAATATTTTGAACTGGGTGATGTATTTATGTAAGCCCCAAACATGGAAACTGAGGTAGGAATAGAATGAGTTTGAGACCAAACTATTTCAAAAAAGTCTTTCTTTCAAGGTACTAGGTTTTTAGACTAGAACTTTATGTATGCTAGGCAAGTGCTCTCCCACTGAGCGATATCCCCTGCTCGCAAAAATTGTCTGTAACTATAAAGACTATATAGCACATATATTAAGTGCCGTTCTGAATGGTTTCATTGCTGATTTAATCAGAATTCTGGCTTAGGGTGTAACTTGGCACTGTAACATAAGCTCTACATGAGAACACATATCATAACTGTATCCTTTTCCCCCTACACAACTGCATTTTTGTTTTTTAGCTTCTATCTGGAAATTATGGCCACTGCTTACCCTGAATGAAGCATGATGATGGACCAATGACAATAATTTACAGACTACCAAAAAAGTTATCACTATCTTTAAGATGCAATCTTTAAAGTGCCAAGCTGAGTCACGCCTTGGGAAAGCTGGGTACTGTTCCTATTTCCTGCTGTGAATAGGTGCCACACCTTCCCAGTTTCTGGAAGAGGTGGCAGATAATGTAGCATGAGAAACAGAGTTCCCTTGTCTTGAAACCTGGCTACACCCTCCACATGCAATGAATGACTCAGTAAACCCTTCCGGACTCTTTCTCTTCATTAAAATATAAAAAAAAAAAATTACAATGAATTTTCAACATAGAAGTAAGTAAAATACAATGATTCACATATAAACCCTTCACTTAGCTTACACATGACTTTGTCTGGTTTTATAGTTTTTAGATACAGGGTCTCACTATGTTTTCCAGGTTGACTTTGAACTCATAGGTTTAAGCAATCCTCCTACCTCAGTCCTCTAACAGCTAAGACTAAAGGCATGTGCCACTGAGAAACATTAGAAAATGTTTCCCATATTCATATATTAATATAGTATGTGATGTCTTAAGTAGATTACAAGGAAACCTACAGTGTGTGTATGTGGGAGAGCATTGGTGGCATCAATAGCAAAGGAGTTTCCAGTGAGGCGATAGTATACCCTTGGAATCCTAGTAGTTAGTATTTAGGAAGCTTAAGAAGCTAAATACAAGACCCTCTTTAAAAAGAAAAGTGTCTTCAATATAAGGGTATAGGAAGGATGCCTT